TTTTGCCCTAATCCATCTTGATATCTGGGGCCCATACTCTGTTCCCAATCATGATGGATCCAGGTATTTCGTTACAGTAGTGGATGATTTTACACGAGGTACCTGGATATTCTTGATGCAATCCAAAGCTTTTTTCTCACATCGTCAACTTTCTCTCTATGGTCCAAACACAATTCAAAACACAGGTTCAAAGGGTTAGGGCTGCTTTAGAATTTTTTAACCAGTGGTGCTCTTGTTCCTTTCCCATGAGATTCTTCATGAGAGTTCTTGTACCTATACCCCTCAACAAAATGGGATTGTTGAACGAACACACTGTCACCTATTAGTAGTAGCCCGAGCCCTCAAACACCAAACCCATATCCCCGCCACCTTTAGGGGCAAATGTGTGACTACTGCCACCCATCTCATTAATCGCATGCCTTTACGGGTTATTAGAGGTAAAACTCCTTTTGAATTACTATTTGGAAAGATACTTGATAACACTCACTTACGAGTTTTTGGTTGTTTATGTTACTCCACCATAGTGGGTTCCCGTGACAAGTTTGCTCCTCGTGCCAAGAAATGTATTTTCATGGGGTATCCTATGCTCCAGAAAGGGTATCACCTTTATGATCCTCAACTTAACAAATTCTTTGTTAGTAGAGATGTCTTCCACGAGGGAATTTTTCCTTTCTTAGAAAATGCCACTCTATCCCCTCCATCAGCACCTGCCTCGTTGGATCATTAGCCAAATACTCCCATCATTGTGGTTCCTATTCTGCTTACTCAGCCAGACTCTGATCAGACTCTTGATTTGCATCCTGATTCCACAATTTTTGATACACATCCAGGATCCCTCCATACCACAGATTCATCCTCTCCGAGTCCCGTTTAGGATACTCTTCCACCTATAGATATGGCTATTCCTACTCCTTTACCAGCTCATGCTCCTTTACGCCGGTCTTCCAAAGTTACTCCAGCACCAGTCTGGATGGCTGATTACATCTGCTCCACTATGGAAGGTACTATTTATCCCATATCTAAATATGTTAGCTTTGACAGATTATCTCTTGGACACAGGTTCTGTATGAGCAATATTTCAACTGATCGGGAACTAGTCACCTTTTCTAATGCCGTTCAGCATGATTGTTAACGTCAGGCCATGGAGGCAGAAATAAATGCTCTAGTCAACAACCACACATGGGACCTTGTTTCTTGCCCTTCTCATAAGAAACCTATTGGTTGTAAGTGGGTCTACAAAATCAAATACCGTGCTGATGGTTCCATCGAACGACATAAAGCTCGCCTTGTTCCAAAGGCTTCACTCAACGGGAAGGATTTGACTATCACGAAACCTTCTCACCTGTAGCCAAACATGTCAGTGTCCGTACATTCCTTTCTATTGCTTCTCACCATGATTGGCCACTCCATCAGATGGACATCTATAATGCTTTCCTCTATGGGGATCTTGATGAGATGTTTTATATGGATATTCCTCCCGGACTTCGCAATCAGGGGGAGAATCTTGTATGTAGATTACGAAAATCTTTATATGGGCTAAAGCAAGCATCACGACAGTGGAATGGAAAGTTTACAGAAGCTCTCACAACCATTGGATTCACCCAACCCAAGCATGACTATGCTCTATTCTCCAGACAAAAGGGTGAGTCTTTCCTTAGTATCATAGTTTATGTTGATGACATTCTCATTACAGGAAATGACGAGAAAGCAATCATAGAATTTAAAGAGTATCTTCACAGTACATTCCACATTAAAGATTAAAAGGCACCAATGTTGTTTCTGGGAATTGAGATTGCTCATTCCTCAGAAGGAATATCTCTCAGCCAATGGAAGTATGTGCTTGAACTCATTGTAGATTCAGGGCTAGCCGCATGCGAGCCAAGCATCATTCTTGTAGAACAAATGTTAAGTTGACTACACAAGAATATGATGAGAAAAGCCAAAATCCTAAGATTGATCCATCATTATAAGATAGCTCCAGTTATCAATGGCTTTTCGAAAGGCTCATTTATCTCACAATGACTTGACCAGACATCAGCTATGTAGTTCAAATCCTCAGCCAATTCATGCATGCCCTAAAGTAATCCCACATGGATGCAGCAGTGAAGGTACTAAAATATTTGAAGGGTTGTCCAGGGCTAGGATTTCTTTTACTAAGGAAAGGGGACCTCAACATCACTGCATACTACGACTCATATTAGGGTTCATGTCCAGTGACAAGAAGCTCCCTCACTGGTTTTTGTGTTAAACTTGGCGTATCACTTATTTCATGGAAAACAAAGAAACAATCCACCGTATCACTCTCATCAACAGAGGCTGAATATAGAGCCATGGCCAAAACCGCATGTGAGGTCACATGGATTCTTGGACTATTAAAGGATCTGAATCTACAAGTGGAAACACCAATTAAATTATATTGTGACAACAAAGCAGCCAATCCATTCTTCCATGAAAGAACAAAGCATATAGAGATTGATTGCCACTTTGTCAGAGACAAGATATAAGAAGGTATAATTAAAATAGAGCACATCCGAACAACAAATCAGCTAGCAGACATATTCACAAAACCATTGTGTCAGAGGCAACATTTTCGCATTTATTGAGCAAGCTTGGAGTTTATGAGATTTATAAACCATGAGCTTGATGGGGAGTGTTGACATGTGACTATACACGCCATATTTAGAAGATTTATAATATTTGATAGTGTCCAAGTATGGTAGCTTAGGTAGAATTATATTATTGCATTGTGTGTACTGATTTACATTTATTCTTTTTATTTTATTTCTTTACATGTTACATTTACAATTGTATAAATTGTAACTCTTGTACACGAAATGCAATATACAAAAATTAATCTTCTCTCTTTCTTTCTTGCTTAAATTCTCTCGGCATACTCAACAACTAAAGTTGCTTCTTTTGCCTCTCTTCTTCTTGTACTCTGTGGTAACTCAGTTGCTTCTTCGTGCTACTCCAATATCAAATTCTTACAAAAATATGGAAGGATTAAGGATAGATATATCTAATTAGATAACTAACGGGATGCGTGAAAGGGTCTAGCTAAAACTGATGTATATTACAACCAATATTTGCTTGGGATCGCATTATATTTTAGTGCCAGTTAGGATTTTAGCTAAAACTAACTATGAATGAAGTTACAGTAATGACTAATGAATACAGGCATGGAAAGAAAGATTATTCTTGTCTCGGTGAATTTTTTATTTCTTTCGTGGTAATTTATGCCACAATTGGAAGCAAAAATTGTGCTCCATGTCTCACAAATATTCTCAAGCACAAGTTGGTGGCTTCGTGCTCTTCTAAATCCCTCCCGTAAATGTTGACGTGAAATGACTTCCCTTCACTATAAATATGGGTGCCATTTGCAAGGCAACGCAAACTATTCATCAAAGCTCTCAGGTCATTTGAGAAACCATTTTGAGAGAGTTAAGTGAGTGAGTTTTTGAGTGTTAGAGATAATTGGATGTATTTGAGATTTTGAGTTGGAGAGTTTTCCAATACTTTATTTTGTTTGTAAAAATTCTTCTTTTATCTTTGCAAGTAGACGTAGGCTAAAAAGTTGAATCACATAAATTATTGTGTTCTTTATGTGTTAATATTTTTCTCTATTTGTCTTGCCGTTAATTATTATATGTGGGATTGAGTTTATCATAGCATGTCTAAAAGAAAAAGATTGCAATCAAGAATTCAAGATGGTGAACTATAGAAACAACTTTTCAATTGTGCTCCTTTGGGAGAAGTGAGAATAAGTTTTTTAATTCACTGCTATCAACTTGAGAAATATTATACATACAAAATGATAATGAAAGATGATTGGATGAAAGTTTATTTTTAATTAAAAATTGATCAACATCATTTGGCACATAGTGTTGTATAAAAATATTGTGTGTGTAATATTATGCTATCAACTTATCATTAACCTTAGTTCTGAATACTGCAAACACTGCATTAGTTCGGCATTAACTCTAAACTCCTTATCGTTAGCTTTTTTTCGGTAAGTTTGACGGAATTAGAGTGAATGACCTTACTGCCATTATTAACCCATGCCCAGCAGCCAGCACCTTGCCTGCCTAACAGTCCCACTCCCACCATCCTTGCGCAGACAGCAGCCTGTACTATTAAAGCCAGAGGTCCAACAGCCCCATGTTCTCCCTCACACAAAATCACCATGGCTAAAAGTTCTCCCTCCATTACCCATCAACATAAACACAATCAACTAAAACAAAATAACCCAAATGAGTACATACGTGATCAACTGTGTCACCGAAGCTGAGATTAGCAAACAGGTACACATGCACAACGAGCAAATGGATGAAGAAAAGGGAGAGTGAAAGAAGAAGAATCATTACAGAAACAAGAAAAGGAAAGGGAACAATTTGGGGCTTCAAATCCCGGGTCAATCCGGTTTTTCCCCGTTTTCGCAATGGCTTCTTCTCTCTTGTTTCGCCTCATTTACTTCTTGAACATGAAAAGAGAAGAAATCCACACCTCGATAACCTCTTGTTGGCTTTAATCTTTATGGCCATCACTCTGTTCATGGCGAACAAGAACAAGAAATAAATCAGATAAATAATGCAAGCCACCAACAATTCTACTTCAAGTTTCAACCATCTCCTCACCCCCTCAATAAGCAGCAAAGTACGATCAACTAAAACAAATAATTGTACGTAGTACAGCATGGGAATGCGCGGTGCCCTGCCACGAATCTCTTTGCGGCTGCGTATGTCATAGCAGGTATTTATATAGTTACTATGTTTACTATTGGAAAGTTATATTTTAACAAAACAATTAATTGTAACACGAGAAAAAAAAAAAAAAAAAAATCCCATTAGTTAAAGGATAGTGTTCATATTTTCTCTGATCATTTAGTTTATAAGAAAGACTGTGATGATGTATTAGTTGAAATACATATTTAATTATGGCAAGGAAGCTTCAAAATTTTGAGAGACAATGAGACATTAGTGTATTTATTTGCTGGCGATGCGTACAGGAAAAATTGACAAAAGCAAGCTTCATTATTTAGGATAGAATTTTTAGTACATATATAATGCCAGAATTAATAAAGAAATCTGCAGAAGGATCTTACAGATTTCCAGTTTATTCCTTTCTAGACAATTAGCACTTGAAAGAAAATTAATTACTAATTGATCAATACTTTAGATGTCGGGCTTGAGTAAACCATATCATGTTTGCGCAAATGGGTTGAAGTGAACCACAGGACGACACATAAGCTGCTCAGGCAAGCTCAGTGACATTCCTGGTCCAGCTTGCAGTTTAAACTTACTGCCTTCAACTTCAAAATCAAAGCATTGAACCATTGCAGCTGCTGCAACACTCATGATGGTTGATGATAACAATGCACCCGGGCAGGATCTCCTCCCTCCTCCAAATGGACAATAATTGAAAAGTTGTTTCTTTGTTTCACTATCTTCTTCTTCTTTGGAATAAACCAAGAACCTCTCAGGGCGGAACTCGTTTGGTTTATCCCAAAACTCAGGATCCCTCATTATGGCATATACATTAACAACTGTTATAGTTTTTCCAGGTATATCGAAGCCTTTGATATTACAATTTCTATGGGATTCCCTGAACATTATAGGGACATGTGGATGAATTCTCAGTGTTTCCTTCACCACGGCCTGCAAAAAAGGAAGATTTCGTATATCTGATTCTTCAACAAGTCTATTTCTTCCAACAACTGATTCAATCTCTTCCCTAGCTTTATTAAATGAATCAGGATGGTTGATAAGCTCCGCTATTACCCATTTTACGCTCTCATCTGTGCCACTGATGCCAGCAACCAAGAGATCCTGCAGGTATATTTTAGGAATATTATTTAATCTATTATGTTTAATACTCAATAAAGAAAAGAAAGGACTGACTAAAAATGTTTAATTGGATTCTCTTTATACCAGAAGGAAGGCCTTGATGTTTGTTTTGGTAATCTTGAACTCTGATTTTTCATCATGATAAACCTCCAAGAGGATATCCATCAAATCTCTATTTTCTGATCTGTCGCCATCTCCATTTGCTCTTACTTCATGCTCTTCTAAGTACTTTTCCAATAACTCATCATACCATTTAGTCAACTCTCTACCCCGTTTCTGCAACAACCAGTACGCTAATATTTTGAAAGGGCCTAGTGATTCAGCAAACAAAAATTTTACAAGCAGCACTAGTGACTCCTCCACCATCTCTTTCATCATATCAGCCTCACAATTTTCCTCTGAAAATTCTGCACCCGTCACCATCCTCATTAGGACACTACTTGCAATCTTCCCTAATTCACTACCCACGTCCACAACCTCATTTTTACCAGCTTTCTCCAATATTTTGCTCAAGAGTCGCATAATTTCTTCGCGTCTAACATTACGTGACCTTTCAAGGTGTCGCGCTCCAAGTAGATCAGAAACGCAAAGTTTCTTCATGAATCTCCAGGAATCTCCATATGGTGCAGCGAAGAACCCAAGATTTCCCAGGAATATACTATCCCTGAAAACAGATTGTGGGCGATAAGCAAAGTTAATATCATGTGTTTTGAAGATTTCCAAGGCCACAGCAGCTGATGAAACAACAACACAGTGCATATATCCAATACGGAGATAAAGGAGAGGACCATATTTAGTGCAGATATCAGTGACGGATTTGTGGACTGTTAGGCTCATGAGATGGAGATGACCAATGAGAGGAAGAGCAGGTGGGCTTGGAGGGAGGCGCAAGTGGGTGGTGCTTGATGAACTGGTTAGCCTTTTGAAGAGAAAGCGAAGAAGAAAGGTGCACATAATGAAGATGAATAAGGAGATTATGAAGTAGCATTGCATGCCTACGTTAATGGTGGCCATTGTTGCAGAAGGATTGGACTTCTTTAGTTAATTTGCAGAGCATCTCCTAATTAGCTAGTATTTATAGTTAAAAAACTTACTTCTGTTATGTTATTTACCAAAGAAGAGCTACATTCTACTAATGAAGTACCTGTTTTTGGTAATTCCACAGGCTATCAATCTACTCCATCCAGATCAGCTTCAATAGACTCACTTACATCAAGCTCCAAAATGCTCCAAATCTGATTCTCCTCACACATTACATCTGTTAGAGTAGGTGCCCTAAAGCTAATCAAATCTTGTAATTGAATCTAATTTTGTATCATGTTTATCTATTAATAAAAGGCATTATCTATATTTGTTTTTCATATTTACAAATATGTTATGATATATATCCTTAGAATAGTAGAACCGTGACAAGGGGATCAAGTGTGTTTTAACTCTAGATTGCGAGAACCCTATGATCACATGAGATGACCATTCTAGAAATGTCTATAACCCCATTATTATTTTGAGCAAAGACACAGTTAATACGGTAAGACTATCATAGCATTGAACGATCCTACTGAAAGGTTGTGACAAATCTCACTTGACTGACCCACCAGAGGATTCTATATAGATGGTAACCCTAGTGTCTATGAAAAAAATCCTCTAATGGATGGCAGTGCATGTGATCCTTAAACTTGAGATCATTGGAGCACTTTGTGCACCTATTAGTGTAGTTTAACACTAGCTTAACATAGTTTTTTTTTTTTTTTATAGGACTATCAGAATGATAGTGATTGACTACATTGAGAAGTGCACTAAGGCTACCGTGGATCAACAAATGATTTATCACTCCTAGGTACCAGAGAAGTTATATCATAGTGCAGTTTTGTTAAATGACAATGACTACAAATCTGTGGCTCAGTTGAGTTGTCGCCTAATCAGATTTAGTTCGGTCGTTGATCCAATAACCAAACACCAATATATATTAAGGGAATATTTGAGGTAGACACTATTTTTGTGCCTGAGCCTTGATGAGATAACAGATAATGAAGATATTTGGTTGCACGATAACCATACTGTTGATAGGTATATGTCTTCCGCTGACTCTCTATCATTTGGATGGCTATGATGTCTTGCTAGATGTCGATCTTAATCAATGAATATAAAGACGATTAATTGTAGATTAATCACGATTCTGTTCACTACCAACATTATAGAGTACCTATAGGTCACACACAAAAGAAGGTTGAATTCTAAAGGTTAATACTTTGGGGGTTTATGGAATGAATTGTCTTATTTCTAGAATTTTAGATATCACATCTAGAATTGGTAAAGAAAATTTTGATCTCTTTAATAAACCGAGTCAAGAGAGATGATTTAGGGTTTTTTAGTGAAAGAGACCTTTGGGTAATTTTATCATAAGGGGCCTTTTGGTAATTTTCTAAAGCAATTGAGTATAAATTACCCACCTAATCTAGGGTTGCCGCCTATTGCTATTTATTGAGGGAAAAGATTTAAAGTTTATATATTAAACCCAACCCTATAAGAAAAACCTAATTGTATATTCTCAAATTAATCTAGCAATTGATTTTTCCTCTTGATCCTTTGGTGCTTTTGTGTGGACAAATTCGTGTAATCCTATGCTTTGATTAATTTGTGGAAGGAAAATTAAAGTGACAGAGTCTCCAATGATAATAAGTTCATTAAACCTAGTATAAATTTATTAATTAAACACACATATAATTATAACCTTGATCTTGGGTTTATTGTAATTAGGATTAAATTTTTTGTTTCATATTCTGCTACATAAATCCAATATTTCCTTACACAAGATTTGTTAGAATATGTGGTTAATGTTTTTGTCTGGTTAATCAATAACTTAGAGAATAAGAAATGTGCAAGATTAGTTAGAATATGTAGTTAACATTTTCTCTAGGTATTTAATAACTTGGAGAATAAGAAATGTGTTTGATGAGGGTTTGAGCTTTTTGAAGATAGATGAAAGTAGGAAAGTGAAGATTATGTAGAGTATAATGACAAGATTAAGCAATAATATGGCAAGAGGGGCATTGTATGTATGCATATACAAGTAAGATGTCCCTTTATTTATACCTAAATAAGTTTCATTAATTATGTCACAAACCATTAAAAGCGAAATTAATAATGTGGCTAGATTATGTGGTTAACACATTATCTCGTTAATTAGTAACTTTGAGAATAAGAAATGTGCAAGATTTGTTAGAATATGTGATTAACCTTTTCTCTGGTTGATTAATAACTTAGATAATAAGAAATGTGCAAGATTAGTTAGACTATGTGGTTAACATTTTCTCTTGTTAATTAATAACTTTTAGAATAAGAAATGTGTTTAATAAGGTTATAGCTTTTTAAAGATAGATGAAAGCAGGAAAGTGAAGATTTTACAGATTAATGACAAGATTAAGTAATAATAGTGCAAGGGGGCCATTGTATTTATGCATATACTAAGGGTGAGTAGTTCTGGACTTTCGGGTACGACATTTTTTGAAGGAACCAAAATCAAAATTAAAACCGGAATTGGAACCGATCGGATCCTAAGATTTAGAACCGAAACCGAAATCAGCCGATTCTAGTTCCTAGATACTTGGAATCAGAACCTAAAACATAGGTTCCGGGTACTTGGTTAATTTAAATTACCCCTTACTTTTAAAAAATGACAAATACACCCCCAAAATTTATAAATAAACCCTTAAAGTTTACAAAAGTTATAATTTAGTCTTGGTTCCTACCCAGGTACCTAGAGCTTGATTCTGATTCCAGTTCCCGGTTCCAGCCCTATTCCACTTAGGAATAGCCATAGGCTGCAATCCTAGTTCACCCTTGCAACCAAACACACCCTTTATGGTATTTTAATTAATTAATTATTAATATAATTAAAATCAATTAATATATAATAATATATTAACATTCAATTAACAATAATAATTCATTTAAATATATACATAGATATATTTAAATATAATCTCACTAATTTAATTTTGATATTAAAATTAAATACAGGCAACAACCTCAGCAAATTTAACTGCACTGTGAGATTACCAAAATACCATTCGTCCTGAATGACGAAAATACCCTTCTCACAAATTGATTCTTAAATTATCTTCTAAGTGTGTGACCCGTAGGCTCCTTACCATATCGGCAGTGAGTAGTATCGCGATTAACACTAATTAATCATCTCACTACACACAGATCAAGATTGGCCCCTAGCAAGGCATCATGGCCACCTGATAGATTTGGATTCAGCGAAACCGCAGCCTGTCAACGATATGGTTACCGTGCAATCAAATCTTTTTCATCAACTGTTATCTCATCGAGACTGAGGTACAGAAATAGTGTCAACCTCAGATATCCTCGACATGTTTTTATTCAGTTACTAGACCTATGACAGGAATATTAAATTGGATTGAGCATCAACTCAATCCCACTGTGGCCATAGATTTAGTGTCATTGCCATTTATTGAATTACCTAGTGAGATAACTTCTCTCGTACCTAGGAGAGATGAATCATTTGTCGATCCACCATAGTCTCGATACACTTCTCAATGTAGCCAATCACTACCGTATTGATAGCTCTGAATAGAACTACGTTGGGCTAGTGTCAAATTACACCAATTGGTGTACAAGGCGCTCCAGTGATCTCAAGTCTAAAGATCACATGCACCACCATCCGTTAGAGGATTTATTCTATAGACACAGGGGTTAACATCCATATGGAATCCTCTGGTGGGTTTGTTCAGTGAACTTGCCTCTAGCAAGCACCCATGCATTGCATCAGGTTGTTGGAAAACAACCTTGACAAGTGAGATCAGTCACTGCCTTTTGACAGGGTAGTTCAACAATATAATAGCCTTATCGTATTATCTGTGTCTTTGGTCAGAATAATACTAGGGCTACGGACGTTTCTAGAATGACCACCATATGTGATCATAGGGTTTTCACTATCAAGATTTGAAACACTTGATACCCTCGTTATGGTTCTACCATCCTAAGGATATATATCATTACATACACTATATAGAAGAATATGCCTTTTATTGATAAATAAACATTTATTATAAAATCAATTTTACAATAATTGATTGGCTCTGGGGCACATACTCTAACAATATGTGGTTAACCTTTTCTCTAGTTAAATAATAACTTACGGAATAAGAAATTTGCAAGATTTATTATAATATGTGGTTAACCTTTTCTCTGGTTAATTAATAACTTAGAGAATAAGAAATGTGAAAGATTAGTTAGAATATGTGGTTAACCTTTTCTCTGGTTAATTAATAATTTAGAGAATAAGAAATGTGTTTAATAAGGTTTTGAGCTTTTGAAGATATATGAAAGTAGGAAAGCGAAGATTATGCAGAGTAATGACTAGATTAAGTAATAATATTGCAAGAGGGCCATTGTATGGATGCATATACAAGTAAGATGTCCCTACACCTAAATAATAAGCTTCATTAATTATGTGACAAACCAATTAAAACGAAGTTAGTAATGTGGTTAGAATACGTGGCTAACCTTTTCTCTGGTTAATTAATAACTTACAAAATAAGAAATGTGCAAGATTTGTTAGTATATGGGGTTAACCTTTTATCTGGTCAATTAATAATTTAGAGAATAAGAAATGTGCAAGATTGGTTAGAATATGTAATTAACCTTTTCTCTTGTTAATTAATAACTTAGAGAATAAGAAATGTGTTTGATGAGGTTTTGACCTTTTTGAAGATAGATGAAAGAAGGAAAGTGAAGATTATGCAATAAGGGTGTTCAAAACCGGATAGTCGATCTGATTTGCTCGTTTTTTGATCCAATCTAAATTTTCGGATTAGGATTAAAATCGATCCAAATTAATCTGATTCGGTTTATGACTAATCCAGTTCTGATCTAAGCATCAAATAGTCCAAAAAATCTAAAATCTAAATCTGTTTTTCTTGCCTTTCCAAGCAAACTAGTATAATAGTGCTCAAAATTAAATAAAATTTAAATCAAATCAAAATCAAAATCAAAATATGAATCTGAATCAAAATCTAAAATTAAAATCTGAAATCTAAGCCTTTAATCAAGATCTGAAATCTAAAT